CAAAGTGTTTAAAAAAGTATTTTACAGTTTGAAATCTCTACTTTTCAGATCGGTATTTTAGAAAATGGTTTTTCTCATATTTTATAGAGTTACACAAACATAAATGATATATCAAATCTCAAAATTTTTTACGAAATTTGCGAAGTTCCACGGTGCAAATAAAAAATTATAATGGTTATGGTTAATTGCAACATGGTCATAATACAGTCTCTTCTTTTACTCACTCGCTTTTATACGCTCCATATATTATATATTGCATGTGTACAAAGTAAAATATATTCACTACCATTACAGAAAAATGTAACGTGCCATTATTATATTACTAATAAAGATATAACATTCTTATTAAATATGTTACTAAGAAAAAATAACCCTATATAAAGTGTAATTTCCCAATCCTATGTAATATTATTAGGTACTGCGAAAAGTTCATGTCATTTTTTCAGATATTTATAGGGGAAAAAAACAACACGAACTTTCCGCGATACCTAATACATAATACACACTCTCACACAAACACAATCGCACATGATATATATCTATGCATGTATACAGGGTGATTCACTTAATCGACCACTTAATCGACCACTTAAATCGGTCATCTGAAATATTTCGCTTATTTTTGATGATATAAAAAAATGTTTCAAATGAAAGTGGTTTCGAGGGGGATGTATTTTGGTCATGTTGTTGTTTTTCTAGGTTGAGACGCCAAAAAGATACGAAGGTACCTCCATTTTTTAAATAGAATTGTATAATTTTTTTTTATACAATATGATTCCTCTAATTATTCCTCATATAAAAGTATTAAGGTAGAGATATAAAAAAATAACCAACAGTTTACGAGATATCTTATACTTTATTCTATATATTGACATAAAATGTTAAATAACTCGTAAACTGTTAATTTTGAATAATCGTATCTTAATACTTTTATAAACAGAATAATGAGATGAATCAGTTAGTGTATAGAAAATGTATATTTGCTTATTTTAAAAATTATTTATTTTGCAGCTATATTTTTTAAAACAACTTCTGTGTTTTCTTTACACCAATTGATTCTGTTGATTATTCTGTTCGTACTATAAAAGTATTAAGACGTATGATTATCAAAAAGTTAGTAGTTTTACGAGTTATTTAACGCTTTATGTGTTAAATACGAGTTTAATTAAACATTTTATGTCAATATGTGCCAGAATAAAAAGTATAAAATATTTCGTAAACTATTGGTTTTTTTGATATCACTACTTTAATCCTTTTACATGTAGAATAATTAGAGAAATCATATTGTGTAAAAAATTTATACAATTCCATTTAAAAAAGTGGAGGTGACATTCACATCTTTTTGGCGCCTCCACCTAGAAAAGAAACAAAACCAAAATACATGCCCCTCGAAACCGTTCCACTTTTATTTGAAACACTTTCTTATATCATCAAAAATAAGCGAGACGTTTTAGATGGTCGATTTAAGTAAACCGCCCTGTATTAATCCTTATAACATATAAGAATTTGAAATCATCTCTGATTTGAAAACTCGAACAATTTTAAGATGAAAGACACACAATTTCGCAAGGACAGTCGGTTTTATTAGTATCGTGTGCTTTAGTTATTAAAATATTTATTAATGCGTTGTCCTTGCGCGTTGCAGGAAGGCTTCTACATTATTAACGCGTATGTATTGTTACGTATTAATAATACAAATCCTTATGTAACGTATTTTTGCCTATTTATCATTTCACTATTTATCATAAGTCAAGTATTATAGTTTTTATACACACAATATAATACACATAAGTAACAAATCAAAGGACTCTTTCTATACAAAACGAATAATAATAAGTAACGAGCAAAGTAAGAGTCAACACATTTCTTTAGAATTAATAAAAGAATATATTTCAATTAACAAAGGTAAAATTACATAACGTACTTGTAATTATTTTCTTAATTTTGATTCTATCTTTTACGCGCCATTTAATGCACTATAATTAATACCAAATATTTTACTACATTTTACTACATTTTACTTTATTCTGACACATATTGACATAAAATATTAAATATCTTATGAACTATTAATTTTTTGATAATTGTACTTTAATATTTTTATGAACAGACTAATGAAATGAATCAATTGGTGTAAAGAAAACACATAGTTACTTATTTAAAAAAAATCATTTTACCTATATATTTTTTAAAAGTAACTGTGTATTTTTTTACACCAGTTGGTTCATCTCATTAGTCTGATTAGAAAAGTACTAAGATACGATTGTCAAGAAATTAATAGCTTACGAGAGATTTAAGAAGATTCGAGAGACAATTAGTCATAGTATAAATAGGATTTAGACGATTTACGTGTCACTAACGCATCATTACATACAGAATACTTGTATGTAGTACAGCAATATCTCACACACATACACATAAATTTTTGTATAACAATAACATTTTAATGATATGTTTAAGTCCAATTCTAAGAACTTCACGTTGTTTTTTCGTGCAAGATACTAATCTGTGGACTACTATTTTATAAATACAGATTACACAGCTTTTATATGAAGTAAATGTTGTCACGATGTTGTGACGATTTTAGAGTGCCATATTGGACTAAGAAATGGTAAAGATCTCAATTTTTAAATTTGTTTACGTTCTCAGCATAATCTCCACCTCATAGACATGTATTAATGCTTATGCTTTAATCTGGGAAAGAATTTTCGAATTTATAAAAGAGGAAAGAGAAGTAATTGTTATACAAAAATTATTTAGTCGATAAAACAAACGACTTTAGGATCAATATGAATAAAGTATAAAATAGTAAAGTATAAAATCAAGCTAGAATAAAGTATAAAATATCTATTAAACTATATGTTGATTTTTTGTACCTTAATCTATCTGTACCTTAATACTTTTATGTGTAGAATATTTAGAAGAATCATCATGTAAAAAAATCTAGTTTTATTGAAAAAAATTAAGGTTACCTTGAAATCTTGGAGGCATGTCCACCTAGAGAGGATATGAAACCATCAAAAGATGTCTCCCTTGAAACAAAATAAATTTTATTTAAAACATTGTTTGTAATAACAAATAGTTTGGTATCAAATGACATGATAGTGTCTCGCGCCAAGTGAACGCGCAGCGCCAGTAAGTTTTACTTGAAACATTGTTTACAATAACGAATAGTTTGGGAAATAATTGCGTCCAAAGTTTCAAATGCAACACCCTGTATATGTATAATTATGTATATATAATATATAACAGTGCACAGATATACAAGAATATATATAATGTGCATTTTATTTCTTTTTTTAAAAAAACTTAAATTTTAAGGCAATACTTTACTTCACTCTTCTATTTATTATATCGTTCAAATAATTAAACAAGCAAGTCGCATTGAGAGTTGATCTTGGGAATATTTGAATTCTGCCATTATTCGATATTATCCGCCAAGGTCAAGCAATTATATTGACATGTTGTGACGATCTTATCTGATTAAAATTGATGAAATGTCCTCAAAGTCAATTCTTCGCAATGAGAGAGGCTGTTTGAATTTCCTGAAATGTTGTGACGATTATTTCCGATGAGGCCAAAAAAGCAAAGCTCGGAATCTGCCAACGGCGTCAGCTGATGGCAACCTGTGCGCTGTTTGCGACAAACTGGACAGGTTCCAAACTATTCACGGACGAGACTTAAAGTATTCCGCCGTGACGATCAGAATATTACGCTGATTCACCAAACACGTGTGCTCCCATACATAAGGTACTTAAAAAATCATTCTACGCAGCACACAACTCATTGGACATATTGCATATTGGATTTAATCTGCATAATTTTATTTTAGTCAAAAAAGAAATAGGATCTTTTACGGACACTTACTACTAGGATAAGAAAAACACATCTGTTTCTTTCGAAAAATAAAGAATCTTCTTATTCTGAAAATCTCATATTTTCGTACATTTTCTTTCTATTGGAATATAAGCTTCTTTCGTTTCCTAAGAAGTGTTTTCGTTTCGCTGCATAAATAAAACGTATGTTTGTATCGTGTTTGTACTGCTTCTACGTATTAGTCACGCGAGCTGTGCACGTTTTGTCTAGAAGCGGTCCAATCAGAGAACGAATCTGACAAGAAACTATAAGATTCGGTTACGATAGGAAACGATTTGGGGAATCTCACGAAGCGAGAGATGTGCATAGCGCTCCATAGCGACTCCCTTTTCATGTAATCCCTTTTACCCCGAGTCGAACTCACAAAGGTGGCATTGAACTTGAAAGGACGACGGGTTCTTCTCTTCTTTCGCGACTGTGAGAGAAGTCGGGGAAAAATGTGACTTGGCCTTCATCGGGAGACCGTCCTCCTCAACCGAACGAGTTTGCTTCGAATCGGTTCACTCCCCGTCTTCGCCAACCTCTTTCAGTCTATCCAGATCCCATAGAATAATCCCAACGATTTACAGGCAACTTATATTTCTTCCTATATTAAATTACCAGCTTGTGATTATTATTTTAAACTAGATTCTTAAATGATCAATGATGAGTGGATATTAAGCTTCTTGAGTGGATATCAAATTCTTGAATTTTAATAATCTACTAAAATGATTCTTTAAAAGCAAATCCCTAAAATGGAGCTCTATGATGAAAGTAAATGAGATCTTTTTGACAGTACAATTTCATTTAGTTTTGTATAAAAATTGACTTAGAGATCTGATACTTGGAAATAATGTGATCGAATTTTGTTATTTGATTAAAGTGATCAAAATTTTCTGTCTGTTACTTTTTGAAAGGACAATCCAGTTATTTTGATGAAAAACTTGGATATTTTTAATGAAGATATGTTTAGATCTCCTTAAAATTTTAAATGCAATGACTCTAAACACGAGGATCTTTAGATTCTTAAATGTCCTTAACCCTGAACACTCCGAATGTTGAATTTGAATGTGGATTGATAAAAGAAAGATTCATTTTTATCTCAAATAAAAACAAAATGATGAGACAATGTTTCTTTGTTGCAGATCCGCCTACCGGTAGTATCTACATGATAGGTGGAGTGCTGATCGCTATGGTTCTGGTGGGCGTCTTGATCGTCTTGCTCGCTGTAACGATCAGGTAAGTGGTACTTCATCATATAATGTCTTCCGTCGTTGACATTATTATCAACATCTCATAACAGCCTTATCCATCTGTTAATAGTTATTAAAATTCATCTTTCAGGCTATTCTGATATGAATTCTGCACAAAATTCATGATTATTAATATCTTATCTTGATCGTTTTGTTTTATTTTGATACTGATTTCATAACTGACTAAAAAAAATATTTCATTATACATATATTAAAATAATGATCAATACAGAATAAAATCATTAATTCTGGAATATCTTCAAATATAAAAATATATTTTTTTATTGCAAATAAAATATTGGGTTGGCCAATAATTTCCCGGTTTTTTTTTAAGTGTTGTACTAATTTAAAATATTATAACAAACCATCTGTTTTATTTTTTTTTCTGTGAAATTAATTTTTATCAACAACTTAAATAATCTTATCAACAACTGTGTGTTTCAGCTTATCATCAGCCTGTTTTTAGTTTATTATAGGTTAGGTTATTAATAGTGTTAATTAAGTAATTCACATTAGCGTAAGTGTGATGGTACAGCCTTGTGAGTGACGTTAAATGCAGCACAATGTTCAAACGTAATCGGAAAAATACGAGTGGAACAAAAAATAACGCGTGACTAGCACATAATAATTGTGGCCACCTAGATCTCGCATCGACGAATTACGCGCTGAAAACCATTAAGGCCAAATGTCTCTTCAACCCCTCTCTTTCTCTTTTTCTCTTCACTTAATAGCAATGTCGACTAAGTACAACATTTGTAAAATGTGATGTACCTACCCTAAATTAAAAAATTATAAAGAAATAAACCTAACAATGAAAATTTCTCGAAAATCTTCTTGGCAAAAACAATAGAGATCTAAATCAATTTACATAATTTACACAATATATTTATAAAGATATATAAGCAATAAATAATCAGTAAGGTAATAATCCATTACTCTTGCATACTATATGTATAAATTGTAACAGAGAAATATTATCGAAATTACTGAAGATATATATTATTAATTTGTTCATTTTATCAATTTGTAGATTAATCTAATTATCTGGAACTAAAATTAGAAAAAAACAAAAATTAATTCATTAGAATCCTAAAATTGTTTACGCTTATTAGAGAGCAAATATGTTTTCAGATTAATGAACACATTTGCTCACTTAACACATTTATTAACACGATCTTTATAGTTTGATTTGTTATATTCTTGAAAATATACAGATTTGTTATTTATTTATCTTTTTACAGTTCTTAAAATAATGAATAGATGCGTTTTCTTGTGGTAATATAAAAAACACGTACACAAAAATAAATATTATATATTAAGAAAGAAGGTAAATACGAAGAATCGAAATAAAAAAACAAGAATTCGACGTCGGAGAGCAACCGTTTATCCACCTGTTCTGCATCGCGTGGCATTAGCTCATCAGGATATGTAGAAAACAGCACGTGTGTGTGTGTGTGTGTGTGTGTGTGTGTGTGTGTGTGTGTGTGTGTGTGTGTGTGTGTGTGTGTGTGTGTGTGTGTGTGTGTGTGTGTGTGTACATACACACATACATACACAAGGTGTCCTGAAAGTTTTTGCCAATCGTTTTTATGTAGATAGAGCGGACTAAACTGAGTCGATAAGTCCTCTATCATTTTGCAACTTTCGCAAAATTAACAAGATATTAATTACTAAAAATTGCCAAATTGGTCTTGAATAATTTTTTACTAAAATACTATCAACTTTACAGAAAAATTACAAAAGACAAAAATCATTTGTTTTATTCTCATAGAACTCTAAGAATTTTTTCGGAATTTTTTATCAACTTTTTAGTATTGCATTTTCTTACGTTTATCAACATGAAAAAATACGGTATTAAAAAATTCTGAAAAAATTCTTAGAGCTCTATGAGAAGAAAATAAACAATTTTTGTCTCTTGCAATTTTTCTGTAAAATTGATAGTATTTGAGTAAAAAATTATTGAAGACCAATTTTCAGTAATTTTTGGCAATTAATATCTTGTTAACTAATGCAAAAATAGTAAAGGACTTTTCAACTCAGTTTAGTCCACTTTATCTACACAAAAGCGATTGGGAAAAACTTTCGTGACCCTGTATGCGTGCGTGCGTGCGTGCGGGCGTGCGTCGTGCGGGCGTGCGTGCGTGCGCGCGCGCGCGCGTGTGTGTGTGGCGTGTGCCGAACGGAAATAGAGGTAAAGGTAACGATCGTGAAGTTCGCATTTTCCTTTCGGATATTCTTTCCCAGAACATCGTCATCACGAGACACCGTCGAGACGCTCTCTTGTCTGCTATATCAGAACGACATTGTACGCTTTTCCTCAGACGACTCTCTTCTTAAAAAAGAATTTTATCTCAATTGAAGTATTTTAAGAAATTAAATATTTAATTAAAAAAAAATTGTTTAATAAAAAATTGTTTCTATTTTGCACTAATCTAAAATCACAAAGACGAAGTTAGTATAGACTAATATATATACAATATAATTGTAAGCAAATTATAAAAATTACAAAATTTGTATCCCAAGATTTAAATGCACTTTTTTTTAAATAAATTATTTTTGAAAACGACAGTCACGATAAGTAAAATATAGTTTATTCAATGAACTTTATGATAAAATTTTTAATAACATTTTGCATCGATTCACAGCTTTTTCCTATTTCTAATTTTTTTAAGATATAATCAAAAGAACGAAAGTTTAAAAAAAACATAATTCTGATATTTAAATATAGGCTGCCCTCCGTTTCTGAACAGCACATGTTGATTATTTAAAGATTGTGCTTATGCTTTCAGGAAATAATCATGATTATATAGTGTAATTATAATAAGCATGTCACTGCAAAGAGAGATATTGTTTGCTATCGTTTTCTATAAACTTATTATTTTAAAATTGAAACTGATGGAGTAGCCTCGCTCTACTTTATTGGGTGCATTCCGTTTCACACATGATGAGCAAGATGCATCATTTATCCTTGTTATTTACCAAATGTTAAACAAGAATAAACGATGCATTATGCGCATCATGCGTGAAATGGAATACATTCAATAGAGTAGAGCGGGGCTATTTCGTCAGTTTCAATTTTTAAATTTACGGAAAACGATAGCAAACAATATCTCTCTTTGCAGTAAAGTGCTTATAATTACACTATACAATCATGATTGCTCCCTGAGAGCATAAACAACTTTTAAATAATCAACATGTGCTGTTCAAAAACATAAACATTATCGTGAGAAATTCAGACGAAAAAGTTCTACTATCTATAGTTTCGCGAAAAATAAATTTGTTAAAAATTTTCTCTGTGAATCAAATAATAAATGTAAAATATTTTAACTAAGTTAAATTTTAAGGCTGTTAATTTAATTTAATTTTACTTAGTTAAAAAAAAAGTTAACTTACTCAACTCTGAAAAAGTTACGAAAAAAAGGTGGGTTCCCAGAATGTTAAAAGGAATTTTTTATTATAAAATTATATTGAGATGCAGCATGTATTTTATCACATATATTTACTTTCTCTTGATCAAATTGAAATTATGTAAACAATTATACATTAAATTTACAAAAATTAAAAAAAAAGTTAAATCGCTAATAATGGTTTCTCTTTTTTTATTTTATCGATTTTTTTACACTTAATCGTATGTCTTGGACAATTGCCTGAAACTCGAGACGCTTCTATTCTCACCGACGTTAAAAGCTCGAGGACGTATTTTAATGAGAATTTTCACATACGCAAAGGACGTTTTTCTCTTATTTTAAAATAAAGATTAACATAAGAGTTACATTTATCATTGGAAAAATAAGTTGAACAACTAAATAAATAACACGAAAATATAAAATTAAAAAATCTGTTAATATTTATATTGTTATAATTTAGGCAAATAATAATGTTTAGTGTTACTATCTTCCCAGAAAATTCAGAAAATTTAAATCGCCGAAAAAGAATCTATCTTCCCAGGATTTTCCTAGGAAAAAACCGGAGAAAAAATATTTTGTTATAATATTCCATTTATTTTGCCCTAATCTGTTTTACAGCACAAAATATAAAACCCCTTCTGTATTATAATTTTTTTAAAAGACATTTAATTACAAAATAACAAAATTATAAGTAATTTATAGAAATATCAAAATACCATTACTAAAATTTTTTAGCATTTTTAAAGCTAAGCATAAAAACAAAATACATTAAGCATTTAAAAGCAGTTAAAAAGAGATATAAGATTAAAATAATAATAAACATTTTTATGAAGGTGAAAATATGCAAGGTAAGAAATTAATAACTAGAATCACAGTACATAAACTTTTAATTCAATTTCATTTACTTTAGATAAGGCAATCTATATTGTAGATATAATATAAATTGTAAATGAAGCAATGCAACATCAAATAAAATAATTCTTGCAATGCTTTTTGCAACATCGAATAAAGCAATTTCCTGTTATGGTTTCTTTTCCTCAAGGCGTAGGAAAGAACGTTTTTTCATGCTCGGTTTTTCCTGGGTTCTTTTCTGAATTTTTCCTCTCTCTTACAACATTAATAATGGTAAATGATATCTGATTTCATATCGCAGTTTCTTCTTGTCAGTTTCGCTATTTTGATATACTCTATTATATAATACATTTGATAGATTCTCTTCATGCATTTCGACAATTCATGAATTGAATGATCTATGATCTGTCGCACTTATAAATATGATGTCTGCCGCTATAAAGCAAAAGTAACAACACCAACAACAAAATATTCTTTCAAGAAATCTAGATTTTTTTCACAACGAGAGGTTCAATATTTTTCTTTCTGTGATATCATTGTTTGTGCTAAATCCGATCACATGATTCATCTGTTTTATCGCACCTGTGTATGTGTGTGTGTGTGTGTGTGTGTGTATGATAGATGTCGATCAATCAATTTTATATCTATATATATATATATATTTTCAAGATGTGGATTTGAGTATCTATTATATATATTAGATACTCAAATCTACATCTTGAAAAATCGTTTTGAGTAAGCTTGCTCTAAGAATCAAGATCTCTTATCGGCGCTGTCATGTACGAGAATAGATTTCAAAATAAGTAAAGAACTGCCAAGATTATACGTATATAGATATTAATAAAGATATAAACAAACTTCGGAGCTGAGCTCCACATACCATAAAGAAAAGTTCATATGAACGTATGCCCGCAAATCTACTATTACTGATTGTGAGATATAGCTTAACATGTTTATTAAGGAGGAAATAAAAAAGTAATATTTATTATTATTTAATATTATTTATTTTCAATTTTTAATTGTAATAAACGGTTGAAGTGTCTCCCATCACTGGACACGTCGGATCGTAATACATGAAATATATACGTAAAACATGAAATATGAACTTCTTTCCATGTTTGATGTGGGAACTCAATCCAAAATTTGTTACCTTATTTCAGTTACATTCTGTTACTCTGTACATATATCTAATAGATCTTCTTCGGGTTTCTTATCTGTTTTATTTAATCCGGTTTTATCTTTAAAGGTTAAGAATCAAATCTCCTTTTTTGTCTTCTTTTAAGCTTATTTTAGACATTCATTTGCATCTGACTTTATTCGACAAAATTTATGATTTTTATTTATAACTTTGTTGCTTATTACGTATGTGTATATTTTAATACATGTATACTTTATATATTGAATCGAAACAAAAATAAAAAATATTTGGCAGTTATATCATTTGATAAAATAAAATTTTAACTTTAAGAATCTGTTTTTTAAATTTCAATACGATAATTTTTAACACAATTATAAGCAATAAAAATCAAAACGCTCCTTTTATTTAATCCGCGATTTAACAAAAAATTTTAGGAACATTTTTAATAAACGATTTTGTAGGGAACATTAAGCTTTGCAGTAGGATAATTGAAAATGTTTGCAAGTTTTTTAGCCAAGTGACAGGCCTACAAAATAAGAAGAAAATTTTCCATTTTGTCCAGAAATTTTTCTTATATAAAAATTACAAAACTCAAAGAAACTCAAAAGATGTTGGACCTTTCAAAAATAGAAATTTTAAAACCCTTTTTTAAATTTCGTTTTTAAAAAAAAGTTGTAGCTGCTTAAATTTTGAAGTTTGTAGTTCTACAAACTTTTATTCCGATTCAATACTTTATTATTCAGTTGTTCTTTATATTTTATCGCACGTAAAATTATAAATAAAATATTATTTTACATTCTGAGAGAGATGCGAATAAATGGATCGTCTCAAGTGGACTTAATTCTTTATGTTCATACGATTTAATAATGTATTTGAAATTTATTTCACATTTATAGCGATGAATTCAGTTAATATGTTTTTGTAATTTATTGTTCTTATAATTACGATGATTAGTTAATTCCATTCAAATTTTAAATTGCATTATTGTTTTAACACTGAGAATGACTCGATTGAGATCGAAATGTATGTTTTAAACTTTTTGTTTGTTTTTTAATAATATAGTATCAGAGCTTGCTTGGCTCGTAGTTTTATATTCATTATTTTAATTTTATAAATTATTTGAGTCTTTTTCTTATATTACCTTTATATTCATTTTATTTTCGTTTAATTCAATTGAATCAAATTTCATGCATGAGTTCAACGCATTAAGTCGTTTTTTAAATTTCGTTTTTTTCTTTTTTATCCTGTTCTATCCAACATAACTTGACTCAAGAAATTCTGATAATAAAGGCTTAAACAATTGCTTATGATTTACAGATAAGGACCTTGATATTATTGTTAGGTTAGGATAAATGTTGCACGTGTAACATAGACGAGCTCTATATTATAGAAGTAATAATTAAAGTCGTCCTCACAGTCACTGTTGCATAATCGCGGACAGCAGTCTCTACATTATTATTTTCTATCGCGGTCTAATAAACTTTTCACGATTCAGGACGAAATCCTTCCCCCTCCCTCTCCCCCCCTTCTCTCTCTCTCTCTCTCTCTCTCTCTCTCTCTCTGTAATTGTTTTTGTCTCTTATTTGTTTAAATTTAATGCAGTTTTATTCGATTTGATTTCGTTCTATCTGAATTAATAAAATTCAATATCTTTCGATCGATTACGAATCAATTTTATTTATTAATTTAATAATTCTCGACATGTCGTTTAACAATTCTCTCATATTTTGTATCGCCAACATGTCAGAGTTTCAAGATAAATCTTTTACACATTATTAATAATAATTACTTATCTATTTCTCTACGACATCGACATTATTTGACAGAAAAAATTTTACTACATTGATTCCAATTATCACATGATAACTAACTTTCGACATAACAATCACATGATATGCATTTGTAACAAATATGTTTGTAACAAATATAAACAGATAATTATAGTTTGTATAATTGCGATGTGTTTTCGATTTTAAATCAACTTGACTCATATATTTTCTTCGAGATGTTGAATATAAACTAATATATATGATGGCTGATGACTAAGTAAGTCGAAACGTTTCATTTCTGTAAAAAATTTGTCATGCATGAATATGTATAAATATGTGTAAACATACATAAATATTCATAAACATACATAATTTTATAAAATATGTCTATACATGTTTATATATCCTTCTTTCTTTTGTAAAATTACATTTTAGTGTAATAGAAATAATAATAGTAATGTAAAAACATTAAAAATAATTGAATAATTAAAAATAATTAAAATATATTTATACATATTTATATAATGCATGAAACATTTTTGGGGGAGGGGGGGAGAACTGTATTACTAAATTATATATTGAATATACATCCTTAATTTTCTCGTTTATAAGGCTTTCATTTTCTTTTATTATTTTAATTATTTTTTTTATTTTTTTTACTTGATATTAAATTTATTGAATGTGGGTGAATTGTAATATATTTCAATTAAAATTAATTTAATTATGCATTTAAATTAAAAAATTTATACATTTTTTTTCATTTTACTAACTTTTTTTCATTTAACTGTATAAAATAATAAATGTGTAACATATGAAATTAGTACGATAAAATTTTACTTTAAAAGTAATATTATTATAATTTGATCTTTATAATTTAAAATCCAATTTTAATTCATTTCATTTGAAAATAAGGCGTTAAATTAATTCGTGGAAATATTTAATAAATAAAATGCTATTCTAATTTACAAATCGCATCGATGATCGCACAATTAAAAATCATGTTGATATATCGCAAATTTTAAAATATAAAGTTAACAGACTGTATAATATATGTATACGCGTCAAATATATCGCGAGAACTGTCATGAAAAAAGACGGCCTGTATCAAACGCGTAGTAAATTCCCCTTAGAATACTCAGAACTCAGGACGATTATATGCTAAATGAGTTTCTGTTAATCATCGCAATACATCGCGGTAACGTAGGTATAAGAGAAACACTGAATAAAGAAAAAAAAAAAGAAAGAAACGTGTTAGAAACGATGAAACGAAACGAGAGGCCACGGTCGCCAACGGTCGCCGCTGTCGCGTCGCGTCGTCGTCGTCGGTTACATGTCACGATTACATGATATATAGACGTAAGTCCGCCTGGTCGGCCTTCCGGCGCGACAACTGTGACGATGAGCGCGAGTTGTGGTGGCGCGGCGAGCAGGCGGGCGCCGTATACCGTTTGAATTTCGCCGCGGTGCCTATTGGTCGTCGTGCGCGACGCGTGCCAATCGCAGCCGTCCTCGTTCGTGACGTCACAGAGCGGTATAAGAGACGGTCACACATCGTTCGCCGATTCAGATGCGCGCTAGTTTGCGAACGATGAACGGACGGAGGTAGTTGTAGAGGAGTTATATCGGCTGCGGCCTTTCAGCAGTGAGATACGATACTGTGCGCCTTCCTTCGTTCGAATTCTCGTCCACGTGCGCGTAATAGGAGATATAAAAAGAGATATGGAAAAAAGTCCTTTCGATATCGGGTGCCAAGGATTCACGAAGCTAGTCAGTGCGAATATCGCACAAGTGTAAATGGTGATATCCTTAGCTGCGAGTGAAGCACAAGTCGATAAAGAGAGAGAGGGCATTGGAAGTGCGTTAGTAAAGTCGTTTGACAGAGCAAGGTGGAAATAGGGATTGTGTGTGCGATGGAGACGGAGAGTAACCTAGAAAGAAGGTCGATGTATTCTTAAAACTCTAACGGGAAGAACAAGAGAAGCGTTGGTGAAAGAGAGCGAGAGAGAAAGAGAGAGAGAGAGAGAGAGAGAGAGAGAGACAGACAAACAGACAGACAGACTTCGTCCGCATTTATCTCCGCTGCAAAGACGCATGAATACAAGAGTATCGGTTTAAAAACTCCGAGTCAACTGATGGGTAACGACCACGTTAAGGAAAATAAAGAGAAACACAGAGAGAAATCGTCTCTCGGATGCGAAGAGAGACAGCTGATTTGACAACGGCTCCACGCGCCGTGTAATAAAAAGCGCGCAAGAGAGAAAGAGATATAGACTGAAAGAGGAAAGAATCTATGTCCATTTTTTTTTCCTCATATTTAAAAATTCCCAAGTCGCTCGAAGGAAATCCGACAACTCGGAATCCTTGACAATTCGAATGGAACGTGTGTCGCCGCACTCCACAGAACCGTGTCGGCTTGCGTAACTTTGGAGTTCTAAGAATTTCAGAGTTCGAAAGAATCAAAAGCTGTTGTTTTCGAAACCTAGCTGGATCTCTCGGATAGAAATCCGCATAAATTCTGGATGAATCGCGATCTTGCGGAACCGATTTCGAAATTTTGTTAGACTTTCGGTTCTCCGAGCTTCGGGAACTCGTGTACCCTGGAGAGCTCAAAGAATTCCAACGAGCTGCCGGGTTCCAGGAACGCGGTCGCGAGGACAAGCAAGCTCGCGAGGCTGTACCAAAAGTGCAGGAAGATGGTTGGGAGCAACGGAACTATGATTGCGATTCGCCTTGTTCGCAGCAAGCTGCGAAAGCGCGAGGACCATCACTCAAGCGTGGACGCGGTGCACCCCGAAGCGGTGGTACAGACAGCGACGTCGCTTGCGACGCTCGGGGCACCGGCGACGCTCGGGGCACCAGACGGTTGCTGCACGCAGATGTCCACGACCACCATGTCGACCGACCTCGGCAACAGCGTTTGCGACGAGCATGTATTCGCGACGACGGTGACGCCGTCCGCCAATCCAGTTGATCCGTTCGCGTGGCAATTCCCGCCCCCGTACCCTCCCCCCCACATGCCGCCGGCGCAGTACACGTTGTACAACGATCAGGTTGGTATACACCTTGTACGTACATTTTGTATTTTACATCGGCACTTGACGGTTCTCAACTTTTGCTTCTGCTTTAGTATTGAAAGAACTGAGCTTTCAGTCATTCGAAAAGATTTGAATATCGCGACAATCTTTTTCCCAATTTTTTATCTTTATTAAATAATAAAATGAATGACTGAAAGCGCTAGTTTGTTTTTAAGCAATTAGTCGCCTATAGAGGGATGCGAAATTAATTCTTGCAGTTCCTTATTCTTCATCCTGGCCAAAATCTTTTGAATTCAAATTTTATACAAACTAAATATAAACTAAGCACATAAAGATGCCTAGTATACATTTATTTGTAACAATAAAATAATATCGATTTCAATTTTGACACAATTGTAGCAGAATCGATTGTATTTGAGAGATTTACAAAAGTGTAATTAAAATGTTACACTAAACTATTTCAATCAGATCTTTCATATATCTGTCCGTGATGACAGTAATACGGAAAAGAATTTATCCAAATATTTTTCCGAGTCACCTTGCCCCGTAAAGTGCAATTAGCTAAAGTCAATGGCATAAAGTTTATTCTTAATCGCTCCTCGCGATCTGTTAGTCGATCTAACCATCGCAATGGTTAACCGACTAACCGGTGGAGCCAGTATGACTAGATTTTACTGGTTTACCCCTGCTACGTTGTCCAACGACTCGAGGACGCTCGGTATATCGGCCTGAGCACCCGAAAAAAAGATTCTCGATGTAGAAAGCGGTAGACGCAGCCGCTATTCTGTAGGGGTAATTTTCCTCAAGAAGAGAAAAGAACGACAGTTCTACGTAAACCTTACGACTCGTTTTCCCTTTTTCCTCCTCAGTGATGACATATCGGCTCATAACTTTAATCCTCCGCATATTAAACACTTTATTATACTTTGAATTACAGGGTAAACTTTTTACCTTGAAATTAATTGAAAGAGACTTATTCAACATTTTTTAACATATCTAAACAAACGAAAATCTTAATTTTCTCTAAAATCACGCAGTTTTTTTATAGAATTGAAATACCTTTTGTTAACATTAAATTCGAAATACTGCTATCATGTTTTTACAATTCTATAAGTTTGAGCGAAAAAAACTACTCAAAAAGGAATCGATAAACTAGAATCTCAGCTGTTTGATTTATCTTTTTTTATACACCCTCCGTAAGACTCGGAAAAAATAAGAAGCCCATCAATCGATAGTCGGGACAGTGACCCGCGGCCATCGCGGTTTCACGCTACTTTGCAGACGATCGATTATTCCCGCCGTTCAAACGGCAATCGCTGATTGGTTGTAGTCGCGATGCGCCTTTTACCACTCAACCTAACGTGAAGTAACCGTCGATTCGATCGCGACGAATGCAATAATATTGTTTTTTTTTTATAATTCATTTGACCTCGTCAACGTTACATATGTAAAAGTATGACAGAACATTGAAGATTTTTGTTTTATCAAGAAGCTTGTCCTCATCATAATTAGGTCGCGTCATAATTTATCGATCTTGCGAGGGGGAAGCTCGTGAATTGATACAATTAGAAAAATTAACTTTTTATTCAGAAGGATATAATTAGAAGACGGCTTTAGATAGAACGCTTGAAATAATCGTCGCTTTCAATAATTTTACGCTGATTATTCGATAAGTTCGAATCGATCGCGTAACATTTTTAGTTTCTCTAATCGCCATTGAATGAAGAAATGTACTTCTATTCTATTAACATGATATATCGAATATAAAATGAAAAGTGTTGTGTGTATTCACGTTTAATTAATAATAAATGTAATAACGACGAATGAACAATTTTTATAATGTAACGACGACATAGATTAACATTTGACTATAGTTTAGCGATAAAATTACCACGTGAGATATAATAAAGCCGCAGAATGTATGTATAAATACATCGGCGAAATGGGTGCAGCTTGCTTCTCCGGTCTGGCACTAAATTTAGCATCGCCGGTGGGCGTCTATCTACCGCCGTTTACCAGCCTGGTCCCGAATAGGGTGTAGTTGTCGAGGTTCACGAAATACCATTCCGTCTGCGAGATTGGCAGGACGTTGGAGTCGTCGCGATTCTAACCAATAATGCAAATTTGCCTTAAGCGGCAAAACTTTTACGACCTTTGTAAATAAAATATCATTTAATATGTATAAGCCATTAGAACAATCGCAAAAAAATTATAAGCAAATCGCGTTTCAGAAATGCGAATAAATCTCTAATTCCACTATTTTTGGTCAACTTCGAAATGAAGTACTTTGCTTGGATAGAATCTGATTCAACGTGTCATATTCGGTATGAAAACTTCAAAATTGGCGCAAAAGTACAATATCTAGTTAAAATACTTGAGATTTTAACAACGATATTGTTTTCCAACTCGTTATTTTATCACGTTTATTTTTATAGATTTTGCCTACAATATAAATAACGACATACCTTTGTAACAATACTTTTGCACAATGTAAATAATACGACATAATATACTCATTGATTTCCCTGGCGGAAAAAATTTACGAAAAATTACGTAGATTGAGATAAAATCTTAGAAATTATTAGTTTTTCATATATATTTATAGTAAGATATAGAGCAGCTTGTTTTTCTAAAAAATCTAGAAATCCTTCGACATCAAACAACGTCACTCTACGTCCCACTACGAACATCTACGAAAAATTAAGAATTTCTAAGATCTTGTCTCAATCTATGTAGTTTTTCTGTACTTTTTTGTAAAAAAATTTTTTCCGTCAGGGTTATTTTTTATATTTTAATGGTGAATGTATAAAATAGTCTCTCTGATTTTACAGGATACCCTCGTACACGCTTTGCCGTCGGACCGGCCTGGATTTGCGAAGGGCTTCCGCAAGAACCTTGGTGGACGCTGGCGTCGATTAGTGAAGCGTAAAGCAGAGACAGATACCTGTGCCATTCCCCCCGAGCTGAAGGATCAGTTGAAAACTATTTACGTCTATTGACGGCCAAAAGTCTGTCCGAAAGCCTGAAAACCCCGAAGAGGAATCTGAAAATTATCAATAAAAACACGATGAGTATTGGTAAAAGCAAGAAGAGGCTCTAGTCAAGAAATCAAGGAGAAACGTGGAAGAGATTGAAATGAAAAGAGGAATTAGGGAAGACGTAAAGAGATTTAACAAAACTGAATGATGGAAACATAAAAGGAGCGGGCATAAAGATGAAAAAAAGTTTGGGAAGCGTATAAAAAGACCGAAATATAAAGAGATAGAAGAAATTTCGGGGAAGGAATAGGCATAAATACAGGAACTGATCTGGCCAATAGTCGACATATCAAAAAGTGTGCCTGAAGAGGATGCAACGAAGTGCCTTCTTTTATTCCACAAGCGCCTTCTCATGAGACTGATACCGCAAAGAAACCGCGATTGGTACGAACATGGGTGCGACAAAGCAAGTTACCTCGTAGCTTCTGCGCAATTAAAAGCCGACAAATCGTCGTATTTCGAATAATTAATTAGCATTAGTGCGTCGACTGGACTTATGGAAGATACAAGCGGTATGCGATCGATCGTTCGGCCAATTTTCGGGATTCCGCAAAAATACGATTCTTTACCTTTAGTTAATCATGATCAAATTTCAATTTTTACAGCTTCGGCGAATTTGAAATCGCAATCTCAAAGGAGAAATTTAACTATAAAACTAAATTATTATTTGTTAAAAAAGAAAATCAACGTATTTTTCTACTAAAGTACAAACTAGTTGTATACTGAATGAGAAGACTTGCAGCTGCATCGTGCATTGTATCACGCTTTTCAGCAGCACAACGAAACTGACAATAGTCCATACTTTATCCAATATAGGTATATAAAGCATCGTTCAAAGCTAAAATAGATTAGATAAATTATAATTTTAAAAAGTCCTTGAATAATGATTTTGTATTTAAAGTGTACTTCACGGATGAAACAAGCTTGATCCACTTTGTCTTTACACGCATACGTGAATTTTTTTCTTAGACATCTCCCGATTCATCTTGTACGAATAAAGTCGATCGCTTCCGCTATCTCGCTCCCGTAGTTGGTTTCGAGGCCGCCGACGTCAAACTGTGTAAATAAAATGTAGCGATCTCTCTGGACAAAAGTCCGCGGGATTTATGATTTAATCAACGAATGGGCTTTCGTGTTCCTAAAAATCCTCAGGGGTCTAAAGGAGGTTCTAGGATTCGAGAATCTGAAGAGCCTCCCGCCGTCAGAACGGAATGCGGCGCCTCGAAATAATAAAATAGATCAATTTAAAATTATTCAACTATTACGACGGCTCATATTGAGTCCGCTTTATTGTAACGCTGACGTGATATTTCACTTGTGCGCTTGCGTTGACCCTTTGACTGCTATTTAATACTTATTCGACGAATAAAGTATTATAAAGTATTATGACTGTTTGAATGTTATCGCATTCTTAAAGAAAATTTTGAAAGCTACTTATGATAAACAATTATTTCTATATTGAACTCAATAATATTTATGTATTTAATTATGTGATAATATTTAATACATTAAAAAATTTTTAAATTATGAATTATTCTTGAGAATTATTGAAATAAATTTAGTATCTTTTATTGACAAATAATAAGAATTGTTCAATCTAATAATTTTATTTATAAACATATTGATTGTACTTGGATTAATTATCAGTCAAAGAGTTAAGTGGCATAGTGATGCCATGAAAGGAGCTTCTCGCGTCAGTGATTAATTAGTTTAAGAAGATTAGTTAAAGAAATCGACGGAGATGACATTCGGTCATTGGAGAAAGTCTGCAGATTTGGTTAAAATTATTAAACTTTAGATATATTTAAGCACGAAATTTTATTTTTACCAAAGACAAATAAGAATTGTGATTAATTAATTGTTTCTATTGGTATAGAAATTGTTTATGAAGTGAATGAATTTAGAAATTACTTATACAATTTTATTTAAGGAACAATTTCGCATTTAACAATGATCATTTGGTTATTTTAATTATTTTTCATTATTTTATATATAATAAATTATATGTTTAGTATTTTTATTATTTTCCAAAAATTATGTCGGGTAATTTCCACTGGCATAGATATTAGATATTTATTTTCTCGTATGAATACGAAAATTGGCAGTACTTCACGAGTGACCGAAAATCTAGAGGATCGTAATCCTCAATATAGTATTGTAGAATGTAAATAGAATAACGGGTAATCCGTCGATTTTTAGAGTTATTTTTAAGAGCGTAACCGGCAATATTTCTTGCAACAGATTTAACGAAATGTTTTATTGACTCGCAGTTTCAATTCTTTGAATATCATATTGAATATCATTCGGAAAAAAACAAAAAGTCAATTTTTTATATGACGAAATATTACTTTGATGTATTGTTATGTAAGTAATTTTATGATAATCTAATGACCAATTTGTCAAGCATATTGAAGCAAAGATGATATCTTAAAAGGATAAAATTCGACTGTTTGTGCGAAACGCAAACAGGTAATTAAATTTTTCACTTATGCATGTCAATTCAAATAGAAAATGTACAATATATTGATTCCAATTCTGGTGTTATCAGTTATTAATATCAAATTAAAGCAAATATTCATTACATGATGACGTGTTATTGTGAAATTGTGTGCGTAAAATATTCAAATTTAAATAAAATATTAATTTTATTATTGTATTCGAAAACGAATTCAGTACTCCGATTCTGTAATTCGTAACGACAGTTTTGATACCAACCGTTATATTGTCATGTAAAGATTATACATTAAAAAATCCTACGTAATGATAACATAATAATATCAAACTGTCGTTAAGAGTTACAGAATTAGGGTACTGGGGCGTAGCCGTAGGTCATATGACACAAATTAGTTGCAACACTATGCCTGCGGTAATGTATTAAATGCATTAATGGTTTCCGGTGCGCTTTACACTCAGCGATCAAATTTCTGTGTAGAATCATACCTTTTTGTTTACATAACTAATTGTATGGTTCAGTTGCTTCGTGTAGAATAAAAGAAAAGGAAAATCGGTCGCGTGTTACAAAGTATTTTCATGAACATCGTAGACCTAGTAGGCTGTGTTCCAAAATTCACTATTAGCACTGAAAATCTATAGTTTACGTTACATACTATACATTTTCAGCAGTAAATTTTAAAACAAAGCCTCGATTGTACAGTGTATGACAAGCCGTTTCTGTTCTCTTTCTCCGTCTTTTTGTAAATAATAGAAAGTATCAGGACGAGGATCGCGCTTCTCGTCACCTAGTCACTCGTTCGATTAATGTTTCGTTGAAATATAGCTGTAACGATGAAAACCAATCGACGCAGCTTTTTCTCCCCAACAATAAAGACGTTAAATAAAGAAGAAAAAAATGTTACAAACGAAGGAATTGTGTCTTAATCAACTGGAAATTTTCTATTTCAGAATTTATCCTTAATCCTTACTCTTATTTTTAATGATGCGTGGATGAAAAATGGAAGATGCGTGATTAAATATTTGCTTAATTATAGGAGCGATTTCATCAATTTTTTTTAAACTTATTACAATAACGAACTAAGCATTCCCGTTGTCTGATCGAGCTGAAATTTAGTAGGGATTATTTTTTTGCAGATTGAAACTATTCTGAAGAGTGCTACAGAAAAAAATAAAGATCATCCTAACACGCGGGTACACGCACACAAAACACACACACACACACACACACATTATGTATATATATTTTACACATACATGTATTTTTTTATATATGTAGAAGAAAGTTGCCAGTACTGACATAGGTTTCCTAAAGAGACATCCTCTTATTTCTCGGAAATTGCATTTAATTAATATTGATAAAAATATGATTTGTTTGTAATTAAAGATGTGAAATTCCATAATACATATTTGCAATTTGTTTTTGTATGAAATTAGCTAAAATTTGTAAAATTTGTAAAAATAAATTTTACAAATGCGAAAATAAATTTTTTTTTGCAAATTGCACAGTTTAAGTTTTAAGTGATAGTGAATATATATATTATTGTTTTACATGTTCATAGTTCTCTAAAACTATTTTATTTATATTTTTTCTCTCTTTTTGCCTGTTTCTTTTATTCTGTCAGGCTCTTATTTTTGCTTATCTTACGAAAAAATTGAAGAAGTATCGCTTGAATTGAAAAATTGATTTTTTTTTAATTTATATTTCAAGAATATTCTGTTCAAATATTATTCGCAAAACTGACAAAGTTACAAGACTTACTTAAAGCAGTCACCGCGCAGACAGGTAGAAAATAATTCCTGGCTGTTTTGGCCTACCAAACAGGCACAAACGAGTCTAGAAAGCCCTCCTCCTCTTCCTAAGCCTTTCCATTGAAAGCAGATATGCAAAATAGCCAGATGCTCGTTTTATTTGATTTCGTATATTAATTTTTGAGAATTTATTGTGAAGAATATATTGAATCAATCTTTTTGAAACTTTTAGTATACTTTATTATTTAATTGTAGATTTAAAAAAATTTTATTTTTATAA